TCTGATCCGCCTGTGGACACAGAGGTCGGGCGCCTAGCACAAGGCCCCAGGACACATCGCTGCCCCTTGGCACCCACAGAGGCCTCCCCGCAGCCCTAGAGGAGGGCATGGGGGTGGGCTGCCCCACCAGGTATGTGTCTCCATACAGGGACCCTGGCCGGGGAGTGGGAGGGTCCTGGGCTGAAACCATCCCACCTCCCCCGCACTGTGTTCCTCCTTGCACCTTCCTTGCCTGGACCCCTCTGTGCTACATTCCCTGTCGTCGCTATTCCCCCAGGAGGGTCCTGCCTCACCCTCAGTGACCAATTCCAGACCCAGAACAACCTCTTCCCCTGGTTGGGTGACTCCAGCTCTGACCCCGTCTCCATCTGGCTTCTGCCCGCTCATGCCTGTCATCGCGAGCCTCTCGCACCCATCTCTGTCCACAGCTCCAGCCCTCCGTCTTCCCGTTTCCTGACACATCATCTTCCCTTCCCAATTGCTCCTAGTCTGCCTGTCTCTCCTGCCCTCTCCCGCCGTGTCTCTGTCCGCTCCTGCTGTGGCTCCATTCTCTCTCTCTCTAGGTCCTTGATACCTCCCCAGGTCTCTCTACACCCCACCACCACCCAGTCTCTGTCCCCCTCCCTCTGAGCATCTGTCCCCCTCCCTCTATGACCTGTACCCTGTGCAGGGTTTTCCCCTCTTTCTAGGCTCCCTCTCAGCACCCTTCCTGTCCCCTCTGAGCCTCTGGTTCCTCACACCCCAGCCCCCGCTCTGTCAGTCTCTGTCCTCCAACCTGCTGCTCAGACCCTGTTGGTGGGTGGGGGGAAAGTGAGGGGAGGGCAACACCCAGGGTCTCTGGAAGTGTGAAAGTACTCCTTTTGGGGGGGGGGGGGGGGTGGGGCCGGGGGGCGGAGCTTCTTGGCCTCAGATTAGACAGTGACTTTGACACCAAGTTGACACACCTTAAGCCCCATGTCTCCTTTATATGGAAACATTAAGCTGCTCTGGCAGGTCAGGGGGAGGATGGGGGAGGACTTGAGGCTCTGGATCCTTTCCCCTCCTGTCCTGCCTTCACGGGGCAGTGTGGGGGGAGGAGAGGGGAGGCTTGAACCTCTGTCCCATCCACCCTCTGTGAGCTGGGCCATGTGGGATGCAGACATGGCCCCCTGGAGGTGAAGGCCCCCATCGACTTTGTGAAATGGCCACAGCCACTTCTGCCTCACAGGGCTAAGGGGGCAATTTCCGAGGCAGAGTCCTGCATTGGAAAGGCTCAGGACCCAAACCGGCACCCCACCCTCGGCACTGCATGGTCTGGCCAGGTCGCGGAGCCTGCTCCCGACCTGTGAAGTGGGGTGGTGATCTTGACCTCCTGGTGCCCTGGACAGTTGAGGTGAGGTGAGCGGTGGGGTCTGGCGGAGTCCAGTGGGCGGGCTACAGGCATCCCTGAGCTCATGCGAGGTTGGGGACATGGTAGGTGCTCAGGGAGCAGGAGTGCTCCGATTAGGTTGTCCATGGGTTGTCGCTCAGGCTTTGGCACCTGAGAAACCTGGATGGGAGCCTGAGACAAAGAAGGGACCTCAGGGCCTCAGTTTACTTTACTGTGAAAAACAAAGCCCACCCACCACCACATCCAAGGTTGTGGTTAGAGACCTGTGAGCAAGTAGGGGAGGACCCAGCCTGGCTCGCACCTCCCCTACCATGTCAGTGACTGCTGATGGGACCAACGTGTAGCGGGGGCTTCTGGGCGGGAGAGGGCTGCAAACACAGAGCTCAGAGGTTGGATTCAAACCCGGCCCCTCCAGCATCAGCTTCACTTAACCCCTCTCTGGAAGAATGTTCTCCCATCTCCCAGGGTTGCTGAAGGTGAGAAAAGAGTCAGGGTGGGGGCATGCGGTTGATGCTCAGCATGGCCAGGCCCCGCCCACTCTGACCTCAGCTGCCGCTTTGCGTCCTTAGAGCCAACAGCCAGAGCCATCAGGTGGTTACAGACGGCAGGTGCAGCGCTCCATTGAGTGGGGGGGAAGAGCAGTGCGGAACCCACTGGTGCCGGACTTGACATTGACTAACAGCTCTCTTGGTCTGAGCGTCCCAGGCCCTGCCTAGAAGCTCATGGGGGTCCCAGAGTGTGACCCAGGGGCCACACGTACATAGGCACTTGGTAAATAGTGGTGGGACTGCCTCGCATCTAACCTAGCCACCTCCACAGCTGCTACGGTGCGGGGTGACGAGTCCCCAGGTCCCTGCCCTTCGGTTTCCCTTCCTTCTCTACCCTGTGAGCAGTGGAGATTCCAATTCCCAGAGTGGGGAGTCAGGGCTCAGGCAGGGATGTGACTTGCCACCAGTCCCACAGTCAGGAAGCGTCAGAGCTCGGATTCAAAAGCGCAGACTCTAGAGACGAGGCTCCAGGAAAAGAAGCCAGTGGCCTCAGGGCACACGGTGGGTCAGCCGCTGAGCCAGGACCGGGGCCCTTGATCCAGATGACTGGGAGACCCCGACCTTGAAGAAGTCTGATTTTGCCCCATTTTATAGTTGAAAAAGCTGCTAGAAAGATTTGCCCAAGACCTGAGATGCAGGACCGAGCTTGGGTTGGCTCTTTTTTGGGTTTTTGTTTGGAATTTTTGTGACAGTTCATTGAAATAGAAGTTCGAAAAGGGGGCGCCTGGCTGGCTCAGTGGAGTGTGCAGCTCTTGATCTCAAGGTCATGAGTTTGAGCCCCGCGGTGGGTGTAGAGATTATTTAAAATTTGAAGAAATACATATAATTCAGATAAAATACAACTGACACACTGAAGTGTACAATTCAGTATTTTTAGTATTTTCATGGAGTTGGACAACAATCAGTTTTTGAACATTTTCATCACCCCAGCGTGTCCTCTGGCGATCACTCCCCTCCCCCAGCCCCAGGGGAGCTCAATGTACAGACTTGCCCATCTGGACATATAAATGAAAGTATACACTATGTGGTGGGAGGGTCTTAACAGACGCTACGCTCAGCGCGGAGCCTGACACAGGGCTTACTCTCATGACCCTGAGATCAGACCTGAGTCAAATGCTTCACCGACTTGAGTTACCCAGGTGCCCCAACATGTGGTCTTCTGTATCCGGCTTCCTTAGCATGACGCTTTCAAGGTTCATCCATGTTGTGGTGTGTCAGCGCATTTCCTAGCTGGATAGTACGTCCCTGTGTGGATAGATCCCGTTTCATTGTTCATTCATCGACTGACGGCTCCTCAGTTTGTGTCCATCCGCCAGCGATCTCAGTAACACTGTCTGGAAGACCTGTGAACAAGCGGTCTACGCGGACGTTTGTTTCGTCCTGAGCAGACGCCCGGCTCATCTTCCCAAGTCTCATTGTGCTTTCGATTTGCGTTCCCCCAACGGCTGACCACGTGGAGCATCCCTTTAGATGCTTTCTGTGCTTATCTTATTGGCTACCTGTATATCTTTCTTAGAGAAATGTCTCTTCAGATCCTTTGCCTATTTTTTTTCAAAGATGGATTGATTGGTTGGTTTGAGAGAGAGAGAGCACAGGAGGGAGGGACAGAGGGAGAGGGAGTCTTAAGCAGACTCCGCGCCGAGCATGGAGCCTGACACAGGGCTCAAACTCAGGACTTGAGATCACAACCTGAGCTGAGACCAACAGTTGGACGCTTAACCGACTGAGCCACCCAGGTACCCCTCCTTTGCTTACTGAAAGCACTTACTTTGCTTACTTTGCTTTTTTGTTTTTTTAAAGATTTTATTTATTCATTTGACAGATATCACAAGTAGGCAGAAAGGCAGGCAGAGAGAGAGGAAGGGAAGCAGGCTCCCTGCCACGCAGAGAGCCCGATACGGGGCTTGATCCCAGGACCCTGGGATCATGACCTGAGCCGAAGGCAGAGGCCTTAACCCAGAGCCACCCAGGCGCCCCCTTTGCTTACTTTTCAGTCGTGGTATCTTTTTATTATTGAGTTGTAAGGGGTGTTTAAATTTTTTTTTTAAGATTTTTAAAACTTTTTTTTTTTAAGATTTTATTTATTTGACAGGTAGAGAGAGAGAAAGAGACAGCGAGAGCAGGAACACAAGCAAGAGGAATGGGAGAGGGAAAGCAGGCTTCCTGCGGAGCAGGGAGCCCAATGCGGGGCTCGATCCCAGGACCCCGGGATCATGACCTGAGCCCAAGGCAGACGCTTAATGACTGAGCCACCCAGGCACCCCTAAGATTTTTAAAACTTTATTTGAGAGAGAGCAAGCACCAGTGGGGTGCAGAGGGAGAGGGAGAAGCAGACTCTGCACTGAGCAGGGAGCCTGATGTGGGACTCAATCCCAGGACCCCAAGATCATGACCTGAGATGAAGGCAGGTGCGTAACTGACTGAGCCATCCAGGTGCCCCTGTTTAGATATTTTAGATGAAAACTTCTTACATATATAACTTGCAATTATTTTCTCCCATTGGTGGGTTGTCTTTTCACTTTCTTTTTTTTTTTAAGATTTTTTATTTATTTATTTGACAGAGAGAAATCAGAAGTAGGCGGAGCAGCAGGCGGGGCAGGGGGACAGGCTCCCTGCTGAGCAGAGAGCCCAATGCAGGGCTCGATCCCAGGACACTGGGATCATGACCTGAGCTGAAGAGAGAGGCTTAACCTACTGAGCCACCCAGGTGCCCGTCTTTTCACTTTCTTGATATGTCCTTTGAAGCACAAGAGCTTTTTCTTTTAAAGATTTTATTTTTAAGCCATCTCTATACCCAATGTGGGGCTTGAACTGACAAACCCCATGCTGGAGGGATTGAGCCAGCCATGGGCCCCTCAGAAGTTCTTAATTTTGGGGCGCCTGGGTGGCTCAGGGGGTTAAGCCTCTGGCTTCGGCTCAGGTCATGGTCTCAGGGTCCTGGGATCGAGCCCTGCATCAGGCTCTCTGCTTGGCAGGGAGCCTGCTTCCCCTTCTCTCTCTGCCTGCCCCTCTACTTGTGAGCTCTCTGTCAAATAAATAAAATCTTTTTAAAAAAAGTTCTTAATTTTGATCAAGTTCAAATTCATCCGCCATTTTTCCTTTTGCTGCTTCTGCTTCCTGAGCCCGTCTTTGAGCCGTAGGTGATGGAGAGCCCTGGCCTCTCTCTCCATGCAGATTCCATGTTGAGAAACCGTCACCACTCTGTGGACTCTGGATTGGTGACACTCAAATCCTAGTTTACTCAGCTCCAACCTTGGGCAAGTTAAACGTTTTGTGCCTGTTTTCTCATCTATAAGATGGGTGTCAGACTCAACTATGTAAATTCATGTCAGGTGCTCCCAACAGTGTCTGGCGCGGTCCGGACGTCTGCTCTCATTACTGTGGTGCTTGCTATCATACTGTCACAGCGAGGACTTTGTTGCTGCCGTTGCCATGCAAGCATCCCCCATCATTGTCCTCGATGCTGTACTGTTCCACCTTTCAGGGTGAGTAACGAGCCACCCATTTGCCAGATGAGGCCACCACGGCCCAGGGAGCGCGCCTGGCCGAGGAGCCCACCCTTCCCGGCGCCCCCCTGACGCGGCTGCCCGCTTCTCGTCTCCGCAGGTTCGGGGCGCCCGCCCCCCACTAGGACAAGTGGAGGGGGTGCCCCCGCCCAATGGGCCTGGCCAGGGCCCTGCGCCGCCTTAGCGGCGCCCGGGAGCCCAGGGAGGGCCGCGCCGGCGATGAGGAGGAGGAGGAGGCCGGGCCGGGGCTGTGCCGCAACGGGTGGGTGCCGTCGCCGGCGGGGCGGCGCCGCGGGCGCTTCGTCAAGAAGGACGGACACTGCAACGTGCGCTTCGTGAACCTGGGCGGCCAGGGCGCGCGCTACCTGAGCGACCTGTTCACCACGTGCGTGGACGTGCGCTGGCGCTGGATGTGCCTGCTCTTCTCCTGCTCCTTCCTCGCCTCCTGGCTGCTCTTCGGCCTGGCCTTCTGGCTCATCGCCTCGCTGCACGGCGACCTGGCCGCCCCGCCGCCCGCGGCGCCCTGCTTCTCGCAGGTGGCCAGCTTCCTGGCCGCCTTCCTCTTCGCGCTGGAGACGCAGACGTCCATCGGCTACGGCGTGCGCAGCGTCACCGAGGAGTGCCCGGCCGCCGTGGCCGCCGTGGTGCTGCAGTGCATCGCCGGCTGCGTGCTCGACGCCTTCGTCGTGGGCGCCGTCATGGCCAAGATGGCCAAGCCCAAGAAGCGCAACGAGACGCTCGTGTTCAGCGAGAACGCCGTCGTGGCGCTGCGCGACCGCCGCCTCTGCCTCATGTGGCGCGTTGGCAACCTCCGCCGCAGCCACCTGGTCGAGGCGCACGTGCGGGCCCAGCTGCTGCAGGTGGGGGCCGTCGGGGTGGAAGGGTCTGGCCCGGGGCAGGAGGCAGGGGCCCGCTGCGGGGGGAATGGTGGGAGATGTAGGCCTGAGGGTGAGATTGGGCGGGTGGTGTGCGGCTGGCCTGGCTGGAGCATGGACTACAATTACCAGCAGTCACGCGGGCAGGAAACCTCTCGTCCCCATTGTGGCCCAAGGCTCCTTCCTGGATCAGTTATAGGAGGTGAAAACCCAAGAGAGAGGTCTGTGACCAGTGCTAACCGGAGACCTTGGCCTGAAACAGATCTTAAGACATAAAGAGCTTCGTGTGGCTTGAGGAAGGGCCCCCAATGGGATTGTGGGATATCGAGACCTGTGGAGGCTGCACCTGGCCTGTAAAGGCTCTGAACTACAATTCCCAGAAGGCTCTGTGGGCAGGGTACCCGTTCCGAAGGGAGGGTCTGAGCCAATGATGTCGTTTTGTGGGTGGCTGTAAACCACGGCTGGGGTTTACACTCACCAGCCAACACAGCGGTACCTAGAGGGGCCTATGACTTGAGGCTAGGCCCCATGGGATTGTGGGAGATGTAAGCCCAAGGATGGGGTGCAGGTCACACCTGCAGAAGAGCTGTGGAAGGCAGTTCTCAGTGGCCCAGCCGGCCTCACCAGCCTCCTGCTCAGGGGAGTACACGGCTGGAAAACACCCTTGAACTGTACCTTATCACCAAGACAGTCAAAACAACTATGACCCCCACTGGCGCCTGGGGCAGCAGCTCCCTCCGGTACCCAGAAGAAGGCGCCTTAGTGTTTCTCTAGAATTGTGATCAAACTGCCCGAAGTCTGGGGCAGTAGTTGTCCTTGCCCAGGTAGAGACACTTAAGAACCCTGGGGTGAGGTTGGAGTTTGGTGAGAGGGAGGACAGGATGGTGGTGGGAACTACAACTCCCAGCAGCATCTGGGGGCTCCTTCTGGATTCCTGACTGGGATTCATGAATAGGAGAGATACTCTCTCTTCCGGGAGTGTGTGGGGCGCTGACATGGCTTGGGAGCTTGCCTGTGGAACCAATGGGGGGTTGTAGGTGGAAAACTACCAATATCTGGCCTGGGGACTGCATTGTCCCCTCCCCGCCATACACACACACACACAGTGGGACAGAGAGTCTTGTAGTGGGGTTGGGGGGATAGATAACCCAGGGGCTAGCCTGAGGCTGTGGTAGAATATGGAGTGTGGGACCCAGGTTGTCATCCTTATTTATCCCTCTGTGGCCATATATTGAAAACCATTTTTCTCTCCCTCTCCTCCTCCAATGGCTGCTCACACATGACTCTTCCCTTCTGTTCTCTCTTTACCTTCGTCTCTGCCTTGCTGATTTCTGCTACTCGATGCCAATCATTCTGCCCCACTGTCCTCTCTTTTTTTCCTCTTGCATCTCCATCCCCAAACCCTTTGAGTCTCTGTCCTTCACTCTTTATCTCTGGTTCTGTCCCCCCACTTTCTCTGGGCCTCCATTCCCCTCTCTCTGGGTCCATGTTCTCACCCCACCACCCCTGCCTCTTTTTGCTCCCCCATCCTTGGCGTCTCCATTCCATTCTCTCATCATGTCTCTCCATTCATCTCTGTGCTCCCTGTGGGCTGTCTTTGGACCCTCCCCTCTTGCTGTAGCCTCGCGTGACCCCGGAGGGCGAGTACATACCACTGGATCACCAGGACGTGGATGTGGGCTTTGACGGCGGCACCGATCGAATCTTCCTCGTGTCTCCCATCACCATCGTGCACGAGATTGACTCTGCCAGTCCTCTCTATGAACTAGGACGTGCCGAGCTGGCCCGGGCTGACTTTGAGCTGGTGGTCATTCTCGAGGGCATGGTTGAGGCCACGGCCATGACCACACAGTGTCGCTCCTCCTACCTCCCTGGTGAGCTGCTCTGGGGCCATCGTTTTGAGCCCGTCCTCTTCCAGCGCGGCTCCCAGTATGAGGTTGACTATCGCCACTTCCACCGCACTTACGAGGTCCCAGGGACACCGGTCTGCAGCGCCAAGGAGTTGGATGAACAGGCCGAACAGGCCTCCCACAGCCCCAAGTCTAGTTTCCCCGGCTCTCTGGCTGCGTTTTGTTATGAGAATGAACTTGCGCTGAGCTGCTGCCAGGAGGAAGAGGAGGAAGAGGAGGCCAAGGAGGGGGATGGGGTGGAGGCAGAAGATGGGACTGCCAGCCCCCAAGTACTAACACCAACCCTCGCACTGACCCTGCCCCCGTGATGCCAGCTGGTGTCTCCCTATATGTACCCCCTTCCCAGAGATAGCAAGATGGAGAGTTCGGGCCCTCTCCTGGGATGGGGGCAGGTGTTTCCCAAGACCGACAAGCCTGCTGGCTAAATTATTAGCTGGTGAAGTTCTGCCATGCGCAGTGGACCCACCACAGACATACTGGATCTTAATCTCTCTGCAGTCCGTGCTCCTTCCTAAGACCCCTTTATCAGCCTGATTACTGAGCCTCTCCAGAGCTTCAGGATCCAGAATTCCAGACCACCCAAGAGGCAAGGACTTGTGGTTCTAGATTCTTCTATGTGGCTGGGTTGTGTTGTTGAGCAGGGTCAGGAATCAGTGGTATATACTGCCTCCGGGTACAGCAAGGAGATTAAGAGTGTGTAGGTCTGGATTGACCTAAGATTCAAGGGACTGTTGCTTCTTGCCTCAGCTAACCAAGTAGCAAATCATTTTTTTTTTCTAGACCACGTAAGGAGGGAAGGTTATGGAATGCCCCAAGAATTCAAGATGATCTTTATTAACCAATGACAAAGATGGTTGAAGGCAGGTCAAGAAAAGAACTTGTGGTTTCAGAAGGCCCAAGAGTTAAGATTCTGTGAATCTGGATTGGCCACAGAGGCAAGCACTGGTGGTTCTAGAACGTGTTGATTAGAATGTTGAGCTACTGAGGAAGCTAAAGAGTCATGTTTCTAGAATGCACAATTAGTGTCTGTGGGTCTGGAAGCGTGACAGCGACAGCTTGGGAGTTCTTGATATTAGATAACTCCAGGCCAGGCCACTAGCCGTAGAACATCAAACCAAGGGGTTTGGGTCCATGGGTCCAGGGGATAATCAATGCTTCTTTATGACCCACAGTGTTTTTTTTTTTTTTTTTAAAGTGCCATTCTAGAATGTCCAAAGGAATCCGGATTCTGTGGCTCTAGATTGATCACAGAGTCAAGGAAGGAGAGGCGATGCTAGATGGCTGAGATTGGCCGGTTCCAGTTTGCCCAGTGGAGTTGAGAATCTTGATGATTCTTTGTGGTTCTGTAATGCCAAAAGGAATCAAGGCTCCAGGGATCCAGGGTTGTCCATTATTAAAACCTGGAAGGTCTAAGCAGCACCTAGAACTTGGCAGTTCTGGGAGGGGGACTCGGGACTTGATTGGCAGCATTTCTGGACTGACCCAGAAAGGGAGGGCCCAGACAAGACCCTGTGGATAACAGGGCTGGTTGTCGGGCAAGGGAAAGAGAGGCCCAAGGCTGATGGGTCAATGATGCTCTGGAATCCTACACCTAGCAATGTGTGTCTATTTCTTAAAGATGTTACACATATGTGTATTATATATATAATATAAATACAGATATCTATCTATATTTTCCTGTGGTTCGTACAAAAGGGTTAGAAACTGAGTATGAGCTAACTGAAATGGAGTCCCTTACGAGGACCCAGGAAGCTTTGCCTAAATCCCAACTCTGCAACAACTTGCTGTGTGGTTTTGGGCTCATCATTCCCCTCCTTCTTGCCTCAATCTCCCCATCTGTAAAAATGGAGCACTCGAACTTGAAGTTCTCCAAGGACCCTTCCACCAGGATGATTCTTCACTTCATTGAAGGGGACAACTGGGGGCAGGTGTGAGGGTCCTATACATTTTCCAGCTCTCCCTGGTGCTGAAAGGCATGGCCTTCCAGGGGTAACCAGGATAGGAGAAGCTCTTGAAGGTCAGCTCTGAACTTGGATGTATGAACAACACAGCAGGCAAGGGGTAGTGTGGGCTGTGGCTAAGGGCCACGGTCTCCTCCCCCCAGTCCAGGTTAGGGGGCAGGGAAAGGAGAAGGTAGCTCTGAATGCCAGGAGAAAGTATGTGTTCCGGGGAGAATTGTGCCCCAGATTAAATCACTGGGGCCTCTGGTGGTGTGTCTGAGTGTCCTTCTGCGGATGGTTCATCACACCTGTCCTCCAGCCCCCACCGTACTCCTATCTAACTAAGTGCCCAGCAGGCTGGGAGCCAACTGCTGAAGGAGCCAGGGCCAGGGAGGAGGACACATTCCCACCCGTGTCCCAGGACTGCGGGTAGGCACTGTCATTGCCCATTAGCTTGCCCGAAGGCTGCAGGAGCCCAGGTCCCCGGATCTGGCTTCTCCACTTCCCTTTATCCTTCAAAATCCCCCCTTAATAACCGGATGGGATTAATTAGCTAGCTGTTCTCCCAGTGCAGGTGTCTGGGGTAGGGACGGGGGTACTGGAAACACAGGCAATGGAGAAGGATGTTAAATTGGGGGTGAAGGGACAGGAAAAGGGTTCTGTTTGGAAGGAAAGAGAGTGGGGCAAAGCTGGCACAGCCTAGCTTTCCACTGGGGAGGACAAGGCCTGGGCCACTCATAAAGGTCAGGGAGAGATTAAGAGGCTCCGTGTCTAATCTGTCAGCTTAACCAGGTCCTGGCCCTGAATCTGTCCCCCACCTGCCTAGCCCAGGGACAGCAAATGAGGACAAGGCCCAGACACCACCTGAGACCCAGTTAGGGAACCCCCCAGGACAGGGATGCCCAGGTACGCTATCCTGGCCAAGTGCCTGCACCTGCTTTTTCTGCAAGGAATGGAAATCAGAGGCTGGGGGTGGGGAGCGGGGAGGGGAGAGAAGCTCATCCTATGTGGGGGGACTCCGAGGGGAGGGAAGAGTTTAAGAAGAGGGGGTACCTGCAGTGAGGGCAGTCACAGAGGAAGGAAAGGACTTCGAGAGCAAGGAACCAGAGAGGTGGAAGGACGTTGAGTAAAGGGAGTTGTTATAGGGGGAAGATGCTAAATGGGGGGGGGGGGTAGTTTGAGGGAGAGGGGAGGACCCTGAGAGGCAGAAGGCGCCAGGGAGGCGGAGCCTTCGCTATATTTGGCCTCCCCCTAATGTCCCATTCTCCATGACAGACACCCAATAGCGTGAAAAGAATAAGTCTTTTGTTTCACCACTCCTTGACTCTCAAGAGGCTGAAGTGGATGGGAAAGTCCTGAGAAGGGTTAAGGAAAGGATCTGGAGATCAGAGGGGCCGGTACCGGGAGAACAGAGGCCAAAAGACCAGCCAAAGCCGCTCCCAGTTGCCTGGCAACCGCTGCGGTCAAAAGCCTGCTTGGCCAGCCGAGGAGGTGTCGCTCCCGGAAACAGCCGACAGTTGTGGCGCCGCCCCCTGGCAACGAGACTAACAAAGTACCGCTCCCCAGCAACCTATTACTAGAGGCGGGCCTGGACTGGACTAGCAGCCTCCCAGTGCCCTGGCGCAGGCGCAATCCTCTCTGCTCTCGCATAGTCCCACCTCCATGCAACTCCTTTCCGAGCCTTCTCATTGGCGGGCACACCAGCCAAATGCCTTCTATTGTTTCGGAGGCGGGGCCCGGCTCCCTAGTCGCACTCCGATTGGCCCCACAGACCGTCTACCTCCAGCCGGACAGGGCTACCTCTACTCCTTGTGTGCCTATTGGCCCTGGAGGACGATACTTCGGGGTCGGGGGCGGAGCAGACGAGAGGGCCCTCCGTGGATTGGACAGTGTCAAAACGAGGGGCGGTCCCTATTGGCGGGGCGGTTGGGAGGCGAAGGGAGAGTCTTTTCAGCGCTGAGGACTGGCGCTGAGGAGGCGGCGGTGGCTCCCGGGGCGTTTGAGCGGGCTCATCCGAGCCCGCGGGCCAACGCGGATCCAGGCCCGACCGGCGGGACCGCCCCGGACTCCCCGCGGGCCTTCCTAGCCGCCATGGAGGACGGTGTCTATGGTAGGTCAGGGAGGGGCGGGGCCGGCTGGGAGGGGTTGGAGCGTTTAGACCCGAACGTTCCGCCGCGAACATCCCTCCCGGCGCGCGGCGCGCGGAGCCCTTCGGCCCCCTCGTCGACTAGCTTTTGTGGGGCGCGGGACGGGCTTCCGGCGGGGCCCGAGAGCAGGGCGTTCCAGGCCATTGTTTGGGCCGAGCCTGTTTCCGGTGGCGGCGGGAGGGGGCGGGATGGAGCGACGGAGGCGAGGCCGGGGCGGAACCATTCCCGCTGGAAGGGCTGGGCGAGCCCAGTGCCTGCTGGGAGCCGCGAAGGGGGCTTCTGGGGCGCTTGGGTGGGGAGGAATCTTGGGGGCCGCAGCGATCCCGCTAAGGCGTGGGCGGGGGCCTTCGATGCCCCGCCCCCTGCCCCAACTCTTCCAAGCTGTCAACGGCTTTGCCAGCCGTAGTTACTTTCCATGGACCCAGGAGTCCGGACACCCAAGCTCCCAGTTACCTCGCCAGGAATGGAGGCCGAAAACCAAGGCCCCAGCCCCCTTCCAAGTAATGGACCCAACAGCTCGGGCTCCCAGCCCCCTTGTCCCTCAGACTTAGGAGTCATGACCCCTAGCTGCCTCTCCTCCCCCAGAACTTACAGTCTAGATCCACAGCCCTTCCTACTCTGGGCTGAGGAATCTAGACCCACCCCACCCCCAGCCTCTTCTTCCAGCAGACAGTGGAGGCCCTCCCCTCCAACCTAGTCCTGCCCGCCCCAGCCCTGTCTTCCCCCAGATTGCAAGAATTCTGGCTCCCAGTCCCCAAAACTGACCTCCAACCCCTGACCCTACCCTCAGAGCCCCCAGACCTGACTCCGGAGGAGCGGATGGAGCTGGAGAACATCCGGCGGCGGAAGCAGGAGCTGCTGGTGGAGATCCAGCGTCTGCGGGAGGAGCTCAGTGAAGCCATGAGCGAGGTGGAGGGTCTGGAGGCCAATGAGGGCAGGTGAGGGCTGGGGTGGGGAACTTGGGGGTCATGGGGCCAGGCCAGGCCAGGGCTGCCCCGGCATTGAGCCTCCCTCCCCTGCTCTCTCCTGCAGTAAGACCTTGCAGCGGAACCGGAAGATGGCGATGGGCAGGAAGAAGTTCAACATGGATCCCAAGAAGGTGCTTGGGCCACAGGGCTGGGATCCGTGAGGCAGACATCCAGGCAGGGGGCTCTGGCAACTTTAGGTTCCAGAAGCATGCTTAAGGTGGACAGATGGGGTCCTAATTCCCGGATTAAGATACTGGCTGTCCATTTGGTCTCTGACCACTCACCAGGCGTTCCAGCCTCCTGACCTTTGTCCGTGCGGTCTGTGTCCTCTGCGGGGGAGGCTCTCTTCCTATTTCTAGACCCTCTTATGGGGCCACCTAGAGTCTCAGGAGGAGCTCGAACACTGAGAGGGAACACGAACGGTGACATGCACAAGGGAGGGTTGACTAGAGCCACTTCAGAGAGCAGCCAGGTTGTGGACCCTCCCGGGGGAGCCTCGGAAAGTGAGGGAGGGCTTCCTGGAGGGAGAGGACAGTCAGGTCTGGTTTGAAGGTCGAGTCTGTGTTCACCAGGTGGAGAACGATGTTTGTTTATCCGGTCGTTCCCGCTCTCTGACGCCGTCTCAGGCTTGCCTCTGTGCTGGGCAGCGCTGGAGCCCCAGAGTGGCTTGACCTTTCCTTGGCCTCAGCGAGCGCCTAGACGTGGATACCGCACTCCAGAGTTGATGTAGCTTTCGTGGCACAGACCGAGCCCCAGGAGGCCCTATCCGGCCTGCGGCTTGGCACTCACAGGCCTCCATGGGCAGCTGTAGCTTGTCAAACATTCAACAAACTCACTGGGCTCCCATTCCTTGTCGGACCCTGCTCTTGGTGTGGGACTCGGCAGGCAAAGGCAGAGGGCGCAGTTAAGTGCAAAGGCTCTGACTCGGGAGGGGTGGTGTTTAAGTACTTGAGTGAAGCCTGAAGACAAAACCTGGCCGAGTTCTGTTGAGAGCGGGGGTGGGTGTGGGTGCTGAGGTCCCTGGGGAGGCGGCGGTGGGGGGAGCTTTCTAGCTGTTGGGGCTGAGACCCGGCCCCCACCCACCAGGGGATCCAGTTCTTGGTGGAGAACGAACTTCTGCAGAACACACCCGAGGAGATCGCCCGCTTCCTATACAAGGGCGAGGGCCTGAACAAGACAGCCATCGGGGACTACCTGGGGGAGAGGTGAGACCCCGCCCAGTTCCCACAGTCCCCTGCGCCCCGCTCCTCCCCTTCCCGCCCACTTCCTTTCCCAAGGAGAGGCCCGCGTGGATCAGCCCTCTAACTGGATTGTGACAGAACGGACCTCTGAAGGGATCGGTGGAAGCCTGGGACCGTCTGGGGGAACCTAGGGCTGCCTGTGACCATCTGGGGGGCATGGGAATCTCCTGCGGACCCCTGGAAAGTTGAGGCCCATCCATTTAGGTCTGGGACAGCGGAGAACAGCTGTGAGCATTGGGGGTTGGTGAGAATCCTGTAGACAGCTTCTTTTTTTTTTTTTTTTTTTTTAAGATTTTATTTATTTATTTGTAGAGAGAGAGAGGGAGAGAGAGCAAGCACAGGCAGACAGAATGGCAGGCAGAGGGAGAAGCAGGCTCCCTGATGAGCAAGGAGCCCGATGTGGGACTCGATCCCAGGACGCTGGGATCATGACCTGAGCCGAAGGCAGCTGCTTAACCAACTGAGCCACCCAGGCGTCCCATGTAGACAGCTTCTAAGTGTGGTAACCACATGGACAGCTAGGGAGTATGGGGGTCCTCGGGGGCACGGGGACCCATGGACGTCTGGGGCGTGAGGATTGTCCGTGGACATCAGGGGTGATCTGAACATCTGAGCTGCGTGGGACCAGCAGATGTCTGGGTAGCATAGGGATTGTGTGGACATCTGGAATGTGTGGAACCTTCTGGACATCTGGCTTGTATTAGGGCTCACTGGTTGTCTGGGGATCATGGGGACTGTATGGACACCTGGAGATGTCTGGGGGACCCTCGGTAGACACCTGGGGTGCGTGGGGAGTGTTTCAGGAGCATCTAGGCTGTGTGGGGACTGTCTGGACATCGGGGGGAGGTGGGTAGCCCTCTGTAGATGTCCAGGGGCCATCTGTGGACAGCTGGTGTGGTGGGGACTGTTCTGGGGACAGCTGGGGTGCACAGGGACCATCTCTGGACATCTGCAGAGGCTGGGAGCCATCAGAGAGATGATAGTGGGTGGAGCACGTGTTTGCTGTGCTCCTCTCGACTGCGAAGGTTCAGCTAGACCGGCGGTGATCTTGTAGCAGATGGTCCTCCCAAGAGTGTGTTCTGAGTGTTCCTGTCCCGGTGCCAGGCCTGTGATGGGGCCAGGCTCACATTTCCACCCGCCCCAGGGGCAGACACTCTGCCCCAGTGTTTGCTTCCTGTCCGCTCCTGCTCCAGCTTCCCCAGACTCCTTCCTGTGCATGATTCTGTGTCTGTCCGCCCTCCCAGGGAAGAGCTGAACCTGGCGGTGCTCCATGCCTTTGTGGACCTGCACGAGTTTACTGACCTCAATCTGGTGCAGGCCCTCAGGTGAGAGAGGGATGGGGTTGGGAGGGCAGGAATGTACCCGTCACGGCTCGCTCTTTACAACTGATGAACCCACTCAGAGTAAAAACAGAAACAAAGATCAAGGGATTGATTGTCTCACGTAACACAGAAGTCCATGTGGCCTCCTTCAGGCATAGCTATATCCAGGTGCTCAAGTGGTGTCAGAAGGTCCATTTTCTCTAGCTTTGGGTTGTCCTTGCCACTGTGTTGGCATTGCTTTCTGTAGACTCACCTGTCACGTGGCAACAGAAGTCCCTGGCAGACTTGTTTAGCAAACCTAGCAGAAAGAGGGGGTTTGGGGTTTTTTGTTGTTGTTTTGTTTTTTTTTTTTTCCCTGTATAAATCCACCAAAAGTCCCTCAGCCAGTGCTCACGGGTCAGCGTGGAGCCATACCTGAGATAGCTGCTGAGGCCATAAGGCTGTTACTGGCTGCTTCCTGACATGGGGACAGAGAGCAGTGAGGGGCTTCTGCCAGATGTGGCGCATACACCTGGTTCCTCTCTAACCCAGGCAATTTCTCTGGAGCTTCCGCCTCCCTGGAGAGGCCCAGAAGATTGACCGGATGATGGAAGCCTTCGCCCAGCGATACTGCCTGTGCAACCCCGGGGTCTTCCAGTCCACAGGTGGGGGCCCGGCCTCGGGGGCTTTGGGAAGGAGGGGCCGGGGCCCCGCCTGCCTGTGTCGTCACCACCTGACTGTCCGCTGCAGACACGTGCTACGTGCTGTCCTTTGCCGTGATCATGCTGAACACCAGCCTTCACAATCCCAACGTCCGGGACAAGCCGGGCCTGGAGCGCTTCGTGGCCATGAACCGGGGCATCAACGAGGGTGGGGACCTGCCCGAGGAGCTGCTCAGGGTCAGGCCCCCTTTTCCCCTCCCCACAGCCCCCCCACCCAGTGCCGTCCCTCTCCCTGCCGCAAGCCCTCCTCCCCATGGGTCTCCCAGTGCCCAGGCCGGCCAGTGCAATCGTGCCAACCTGTCCATTTCTTTTCTCTCTCTCTTTTCTGGGCCTCCCTCAGTCTTCATCTCTCTTGTTTCTCTTTCCCGTTTCTCTCTGGCCCTCGGGCTCTTTCGGGGTCTAAGTGTCCATCTGTCCGTCTATCTCGAGAACTCTGCTGGCCACTGCTACTCTGCATCTCTTCTTCCTCTCCTGGGGCTCCCTCCATCCTTCTGCCTCCTCCCTGGGCCACTCCTCCCCTAGTCCCATTGGTCCCATTGCCTCCCTGGCTGTTGGGGCCCCCCAACCGTGACCAGGTCACCCCGGGAGGGTCCCTGGGGCCTGGAGATGCTGACTGCATCCTCGCCCCTCAGAACCTCTACGACAGCATCCGAAACGAGCCCTTCAAGATTCCTGAGGATGACGGGAATGACCTGACCCACACCTTCTTCAACCCGGATCGGGAGGGCTGGCTCCTTAAGCTGGGTACGTCCCCTCCTGACCCCGCCGGCAGCCTCTGCAGGGGAAAGTGAGGAGTCCCAGGTTCTCGTTGCCATGCGCACCTGCTGTGTGATCTTAGGCAAACGATTTGACCTCTCTGAACTTCCATTTGCCACATCTGCAGAACAGGGCCAAAAACAAGATGAGGCCGGTGCGCCGGGCCCGAGCTCAGGCATAGAGGAGGGCCCCCTAAATATTTGTGGGTACAGGGTAGGCGTTAGGGAGCACTGAATAATTGCCAGGCTCTGTGCTTATGAACACAGAGTCCCCGCGGGGGTGGAATGGGGTGGGGTGGGGGTGGGGCCGATTCCCCCAGAAACACGGGGATCCAGCAGATTCTAGATAAGTCAGCAGGGGTCAAGCAAGTGCCCCTTCTGTGGGGGTTATCTGAGGATTGGAGGGGCTCTCCTCTTTGGGTTCACGGGACATTTCCCAGGGGAGCTTTTAAAACCCCGACAGCCAAGCCACAACCTCCCAGAGCCGGGATTTCTAGGGCGGGATGGGCTGTCAGTCATGCTCAAAGCTCCCCAGCCGCCTTCCAGGGCAGCCGCAGTTGAGAGCCGCTGGCCTGGAGCCGTGCGTGGGGATGGCAGGCGCCGCGAGAGTGAGCCGCGGCTTCTGAGCCCCAAGGCAGCAGACAGCTGCTCCGGGGCCACGGCGCCGCCCCGGGGGCCAAGGCTTCTGGTGCCCAGGGAGAGGGCAGGGAAGTGGCAAGGAGACCCCGGGAACTAGTTCCTCTGCAGACCTTTCCGTCTGTCCGCAGGGATGCTTCCCGTTGCCTGGAGTGGGGACATTGAGGCTCAGTCGCTGTCCAGCAGCAGCCACAGAGCTGGGGTGGCCTTGGAGCCAGATCGCCGACCCTGGGTGTAGCTTTCTGTTCTGCGTGGACAGGGTCAGGGTCAGGGTCAGGGAGAGAGGCACCTCCTGCTCCAGAGGCTGAGGCGGACCAGTGCTGGGGGGCGGGGGGGGGGTTGGCGGCCATGTTCACAAGGATGCTTAATGGTGGCCGTTGTTCCTGTCATGGTCAAGGAGCCCAAAAGCAGGTCATCTTGAAGCAGGAAGGTGTGGGCCCAAGTGGGTCTGTGGGCTGGAGTCCAGAGAGGGCAAGAGGTGGCCCAGCCACCTTGGGTCAAGCAGCCGGGGGTGCGGGCAGGGTTTGTCCCCTCCCTTTGCAATAACTTGAGGGGGGTAAGACCTCTTTACCGTGGCATTGGGGGCCTTCCTGGCTGAGGATCTATCCTGAGGGGACGGGCTGGAGCCGGGCACTGATCTGCGGCCTCCCTGGGAGGGAGAGGGTCATGTCGATGTAACTGGTTTTCTTCCCTCTCTTCCCCCCTCCCTCCCTCTCTCCCTCCATCTCTGCGTGTTCCTCTCTGCTGTTTCCGTCTCTGTCTCTGTTTCTGTCCCGCCCCCTGTGCTTTCTGGCCTTTGCCCCCCGCCCCGTTTCTGTGGCCTGCGGCTTCTGGGGGCACCCCATTCTTCTGCCTTCCCTTCTCCTCGCCTGGTCCTGCCTGCTTTCTCGCTGTCTGCCCCAGGAGGTAGGTACGCTGCCCATCCTTGCTCCCTGACCTGACATCGGGGGAGGGTGCTGCCCCGGGCTGACAGACAGGGTTAGGAAGTGGGGTGGGCAGGATCCTGGGGCCCAAAAGCCAGCCTGTCCCTGCTTGTCTGTCTTCCCACGCATTGCTTTGTTCTCAGCCCCGCCAGCCCCGCCTTCCCTGCGCTCACTCTGCCTCTCGGTGCCCTCCCTGCCCTCCCAGAGGCCCTGTCCCCCTGTTGAGCCCAGGCCCCCTCCCACCCCTTCCCTTTCAGGGGGCCGGGTGAAGACGTGGAAGCGCCGCTGGTTCATCCTCACAGACAACTGCCTCTACTATTTTGAGTACACCACGGTGAGGGCAGAGCCTGGTGGAGGGGCTGGGGGCCAGGACTCCCAGGTCTGATGGAGGAGGGCCTGGGGGCAGGGACTCCCGGGTCAGGTCTGAGGGAGGAGGGCATTGAGGGTCTAGACTCGCAGATCTGAGGGAGTTGGGAGCCGGGACTCCCGGGTCTGAGGGAGGAGCGCATTGAGGGTCTGGACTTCTGGGTCTGAGGAAGGAGGGCTGTATCAGTGCACTAGGGCTACTAGGACAAAGTACCACAAGTTGGTGGCTCAGACCTCAAACATTCTGGGGTTCCAGAAGAGGGGCTGGGCGAGGGCTGGGGAGTCTGAGTCCTGTGCTGCATTTTCCTTCAGGACAAGGAACCCCGTGGAATTATCCCCCTGGAGAACCTGAGCATCCGAGAAGTCGATGACCCCCGAAAACCGGTAAGGCCCTCTCCGTACCCCAGCCTGCTGCGGTGGGGGCGGTCTCTGGTCCTGGGGCCACTGTTACCCACCGTTCCTCTGCTCTCGTGTCTCCCCAGAACTGCTTTGAGCTTTACATCCCCAACAACAAGGGGCAGCTCATCAAAGCCTGTAAAACTGAGGCGGACGGCCGGGTGGTTGAGGGGAACCACATGGTTTACCGGATCTCGGCCCCAACCCAGGAGGAGAAGGAAGAGTGGATCAAGTCCATCCAGTGAGCCAGGGCTCCAGGGTCCTCGGGCAGGGGGTGGGGCCTGGCTCCTTGGCCCTCACCCTGGATCCTCCCTTCTGCAGAGCCGCCGTGAGCGTGGACCCCTTCTATGAGATGCTGGCAGCAAGGAAGAAGCGGATTTCCGTCAAGAAGAAGCAGGAGCAGCCCTGACCCCCTGCCCCCCAACCCCGTTATTTATTACGGAGCTGCCCCATCCGGGTGGCCGGACCCCTGGGCCCCGGGGCTGCGGATCCTGGTTTTCCAATCCTGGTTCTCTGTTTGGAAAATTCACCACCTCTAGCTCCTCTCTCATTGTTTGTAATTAACACACCATTGGTAATCTTATTAATTATTTAACCACTCGTGGCCTGGGACCCCTCCTTTCTCGGGGTTGACAGGGCGGAGGGGCTCAGCCTTGTAGCCCGCGGGGCTGCCTGTGCACTGGTCTCTCCTGGGGGCTGTCCGGGCGTGTGAGGGATGGATGCTGGGGACGCTGCAGCCGAGCAGGGACCCTCCCATGTCCGCCCCTTGCCCCCCCCCCCCCAGCCTGCAGGGCTGGAATAAAGGGGAGGTTTCACAGGGCGGCAGGTGGTCTGGTTAGAATGGCATGGTATTGAGCGAGTGGGTGGGCCGATGTCCTGGGGCAAGGCTTAGCCTTCCTTCCAGACACGCCTTGACAGGCCAAACCCAGGAGGGTTCCCGTCCTCCCTGATGCCCTCAGCCGGCTCCTGCTCCTGGAGGGGGCCGCAGCTCTGAGCTGATGGGATTGTGAGCGGGCCAGTGCTTTGCAAGCAAAAACTAGAGAGCTGGTCAAGCTCTGGGGGGGACCTGCTCCAGGAGCACATCGGGCGGAGGAGCCCAGAAAAGAGCCAGAGAGCTATCCCCTGGGGCTGGGCAAGAGGCAGCTGGTGTCAGAGGAGGGCTGGGTGGGAGTGGTGGGTGGGGTGGGGAACTGGGGGGCCGACAAGCCCAGTTCTCAACCAGCAGCTGGTCATCTGGAAGACATTTTGCACCGAGCAAGTACAGCTCTGGGAAACCCACAGTACTGCTCCTGTCCTGGGAATCAGCCTCCGAAGTGGGAGGTCTTTTCCTTGAGAGCAAAGACTTGAAGGTTGGGGTACCCCTGAACCCCAGGGCCAGGCCTGTTTCTCCTGGCCCTCCAGCTTGGGATACACTTGGTGTCCCCAAAGAACAAAGGCACAGAGATCCTGAGGGGGGTGGGTTGGCAGGATGGGAGACCCCCTCGTCACTCTCCCACGCCCAAATCTGCCGTGGAGGCTTGAGTGCGAGAAACCCCGATACTGGGCAGGCCCTGTTACCAGACTGCATTAGGTTGGAACTGAGGCCTGCCGCTGCGGGTTGTGTGTGTTGCGGGGGCGACGGGGGGGGCAGTTGCATTTCCTCCCTCCCCCAAGCTTTCTTCAAAGGGTGGAAGCACTAATTGAGTGCTCCTGGTGAAGTGGAAATCCTGGCTCTGCCCTTGGCCACAGGCATTGGCCTGCTCCACGCGTACTAGAAACACTGCCGTCCTCGAAGGGGGCGCTCCTCTCCCTGCAGGAGCCTTGGACTACAATTCCCAGCAAGCTGTGCAGGGCTGGCTGCCCCCACCAGTGGGAGAGCCAGTCTGGAGGCCTTCTGGGAGTTGTATTTTCCTAAGGCTCCAATGACCGGGCGGGGGGGGGGGTGCTCCTTACTTAGCCCAGTTTCCTACACTTGTGTGCAGGTTGGGCAAAGAGGCCCTGGGCACTTTAACTCCCAGGCACGGATGGGAAGTGGAGTTCCCAAGTGAGAATATGGGATTCCCAACTCCAAACGTTCCAGGGAAATGGGAATCATCAGCTCAAGGAAAAAGGAGGTCTCTGGATACACACAAGGTCCCACCACTACCTCACCCTATCCTGCCCGCCTCCAGGGAGTAAACCCATAGGTCCTGAATGCTCGGCAGAGATGCCCTGGAAGGGCATTGCAGGCACAGGGAACAGTATAAGCAGAGGCAGGAAAAGGTATGGTGTGTTGGAGTTAACGGACAGCAGGCTTGTATGGTATGATCGAGGAGGGAAGTTGGTAAGAGGTGGGAGTCAGAGGGGATGCACAAGCCTGATCATTTGGAGCCCGATCCACCATGGGAGGGACTTTGGATGTATTTTTAGTTGATGGAAACCATCCAAGGGTGTGAAGAAGGCAAATGACGTATTTGGATTGAGCCTGTAGGAGGGGCCTCTGGCTGCTGCAGAGAATAATTTGGAAAGGAGTGGGGGCAGCTGCAGGGAGGACAGGACGCAGTGCAGTTTTACCCTGGGGCTGAGGCCATGGAGAGAAGTGGACCCGGGAAGAGGCATCCACAGGATTTGCTGAGCGCCGGACCAACTCCGGAATTCTGGCTCCAGCAATGAGTGCGTAGCAATGCCATTGATCGAGATGGTTGGAGAGGGAATTGTGGGGCTGGGGAGTAGGGATTGGTGGCTCTGGTTTGGCCAACTTAAGCTGCAATTGCCTGTAGGACATTCAAACCAGACTTGTCACCTCAAAATCGTCCTTCAGTTTTGCCCCAAATCCATCTCCTTCCCAAAGACTGAGGATTCTAGCTGCCGGCTCCCACCTCTCCCAGGACCCCAAATCCCCAGCCCCCTTGTTACAGGTTGAATCATATCAGCCTGAGATCAGTACGTTGAAGTCCTAAACCCCGGTACCTCAGAACGTGGTCTTATTTAGAAATCAGATCATTGCGGATAAAATCTGGTAAGATGGATGAGGTCATTAATGTAGGCACTAATCCAATATGGCTAGTGTCCTTATACTAAGAGAAAATTTGGACCCACAGACACACACACATGGGGGAAGGGAGAACACATGTGAAGGTGAAGGCAGAATTGGGGTGAGGCTTTTACACACTAAGGAGCAAAGATGGCCGGCGACCACTAGAAGCGAGGCGAGTCCTGGAACAGCTTCTCCCTCACAGCTTCACAAGGAACAGATCCTGCAGACATCTTGATCTTGGATTCTAGCCTCCAGAGCAGGGATGCTGTCAGTGAACTAGTAATATAGTCCTCCCCCCTCTCAGACCCAGGAGTCTTGCCCCAGCCCCTCCTCCCTCAGACCCAGTAGTCCTCACCTCCAGCCCCGGACTCCTTCAGACCCAAGAGTCCTGGCCCCCAGCCCCTCCTCCCTCAGACCCAGGAGTCCTGGCCCCCTGCTCTTCCTCCCTCAGACTCCAGAGTCCTGGCCCTCACCACCCTACCAGTCCTGGCTCCCTCAGCACACACCCTGGTCAGGTGTGTCCACAGATCAGCTAAAGCACAGCCCCGTCTTCCCACAGTGCCTCTGAGAAAGACACAAGAGTCTAATCCTCACTCTCCCTTTCTCCATCCCTGGGACTTAACAAGTGACCCTAATGCCTTCATCCCCTTAACTCCTAAGCCAGGAGTCCGCAGCACCCCCTTTGGGTCCCCACTTCTGGTCCCTTCCCTCCCTCGCTCTCACCCAAAGTGAGTCCTGCAAACATGCAAATGAACTTGGGACCAAAGGGATGGGGTGATAGGTTGAAGGCAGGAGATCAGAGACAGTCAGAGGAGAGAGACAGGAGGCAGAATCAGTCAGGAGCCCCAGAGAAATGGAGAAAAAGAAATCGGGACAGAGAGACAAGGCAGGAAGACACAGACAGACTTCAGGGAGGCACAGAGGAGAAACATCCAGATGCAGAAACACAAAGAAATAGTAGAATTAGGAAGAGGGTCACAGAACTCAGGCCAGGTGGAATGAGAATGTCCTGGGAGGCGGGCGCTCACAAGCAGACACAGGTAAACTGAGGTACAGGCACTGTGGGGCAGGGAGGTAGTGGCCTCAGTGGAGGCACAGGGCAGCTCTGTTCTGAGGTGTGGGGGATGTGGCCAGGAGCCATGTGGGTGCTGACCCGTCATTCCTGAGCACCCCGTCCGCAGTCCTGGCCCTCGCAGGGCCTCTGGCCACCCCCACAGCCGCCTTGGGCAAACAGGGCTCTTCCGACCGCCCTGGCCTCTCCCTGCCAACTCTTAGCGCAGGTCAGCGCCACCAGCAGCAGACGCAGCCGGGAGCCAGAGAAGCAGAGCCGCGGCCGCGCCCCGCTCAGCGCTTCCACCTTCCCGAGCCTCCATGTTCCCATCTGTGAAGTGGGCGACAGGCGGCTGACGGCGATGTCTTCGGGACCCTCCCCTCTTTGCCCCGAAACACACGCAGGCCCTGCATTCCTCCAAAAAGTTGTTTTTGTCTTTTTTAAATAATGTGAAAATGCCACGCGAAGGTTTGAACCAGAGGCCCCTCCAGGGGCCAGGCTGGGGCGGGGAGGGGAGACGCGAGATGGGGGTCCAGGTCCCCGAAGCCTGCAGCCCCTCCCTGGGGCCAGGAGTGGGTGAGGAGGGGGCCTCCGCTGTGCCGAGGGGCTCCAGGCCCGAAAGAGTTCAGTTCAGTTCCGAGAAAGGCGGCTCTCCAGGGAGGGGGGAGGGGCTTTCCTGCCTCATTTGGCACCGAGGGGGTCGGGGGGCTCAGGGGAGCCGTCCGGGGGGCTAGGGGGTGGGGGGCCAGGGCCTCCCGTTTGGCACATGGTGGGGGAGGGGGAGGGCCCAGCCTCAGGAGCCTCCCCAGAGGCGGTATCTGTGGTGGTGGCAGTGGCTCCATCGTCCACAGAGGATTCTACTCTCAACCCCTCTTCTGGGGGTGCAGGGGGGTGGGGTCGTCGGGGAGTCAGTTCTCCACGGGGCCTGAGGACAGAGGAAATGATTTACTGGGCAGATAGGCTCACAGCTTCTGTCTCTCTCGGAGTGAAAGCAAAGCCCTCACCAGGACCCACAGGGCCCCCCACATGACCTGCCCTATCCCGTTTCTGTCCTCACCAACCCCCATCCCCCTCACCCTGTCCCCTTCATGGCCACACTGGCTTCCTTGCTGTTTCTCCTGGGCTCCAGGGCCTACCCCAGGGCCTTTGCATGGTAGGGCCCAGTAGATGAGGGGTAAGTGGGCAGAGACCCACCAAGCATAGAAGTCCATACGGAAGGGGGCCCGGCCTGTACCCCCCCGCCAGGGTCTTGGGAGACAGAAAGGTCAGCCGCCTCCCTGCCCCGCCGTAGCAGAAGCATCCGCCGGATGAAGGGATTTGGGCTTTTGCACAGTTGGGCCCTCCCTTGCCTCTCCTAGTGATTAAAGGTGAAGTCACCCTGGCACGCTAGTCCCGCTGCTCTCAGCCCTGACTCACCACTTGGCGGTGTCCCATGCCCTGGACCCAACCCACTCTGTCCTCATGGGGGCCTCAGAGAAGACCTCTGGGAGGAAGTGACATTTGAGGTGGAATCTGACAATGGAGCCAAGTGAAGAGTGTGCCCTTGGCCCTGTC